TCTCTCTCTCTCACATCCTCCAGGGCACCTAAGAATCTTTCTCTCATCCAGCAACACGGATGGTGGTCGTCTGCGACATTGCAGGCAGGTGGAGGGTGGGCGATGGAGGTATATTGCTATATTGGACAAAATGACCTTGTTTGTCTTGTTACAGCTGGGCCATCTCTCAGGTTGGGTTATCTCACACACACGCGCACGCACACACACACACACACACACACACACACACACACACACACACACACACACACACACACACACACACACACACACACACACACACACACACACACACACACACACACACACACACAAACACACACACACAAAACTGCTGTTCAAACTCGAGAGGCAGGCGGGGGGTGGGAGGAAAAGTCCTAGCATGGATAAGGACCTACCTAACAGGAAGGAGCCAGAGGAGTTATGGTAAGGGGCGAGAAGTCGAACTGGCGAACAGTAACAAATGGAGTACCACAAGGATAGGTGCTGGGACTAATTCTATTTCTAATATATGTTAACTACATGTTTACAGGAGTAGAGTCCTACATGTCGATGTTTGCGGATGACGCAAAGTTGATGAGAAGAGTTGTGACAGATGAGGATTGCAGGATCCTCCAAGAGGACCTGAACAGATTGCAGAGATGGTCAGAGAAATGACTACTGGAGTTCAACATGAGCAAATGTAAAGTTATGGAAATGGGACTAGGAAATAGGAGACCAAAGGGACAGTACACAATGAAGGGGAACTGCCTACCTGTGACGACGCGAGAAAGAGACCTGGACGTAGACGTAACACCTAATCTATCTCCTGAAGCCCATATAAAGAGGATAACGACAGCAGCGTACTCTACACTGGCAAAAGTTAGAACATCATTCAGAAACCTAAGTAAGGAGGCATTTAGGGTGCTTTACACTGCCTACGTGAGGCCAGTCTTAGAGTATGCCGCCTCATTATGGAGTCCCCATCTGAAGAAGCATATAAGGAAACTGGAAAAGGTTCAGAGGTTTGCAACGAGACTCGTCCCAGAGTTACGAGGGATGGGGGTATGAGGAGCGCCTGAGGGAACTGTGCCTTACGACACTAAAAAGAAAAAGGGAGAGGGGGACATGATAGGAACGTATAAAATACTCAGAGGGATTGACAGAGTGGACATAGACGAAATGTTCACACGGAATAGTAACAGAACGAGCGGACATGGATGGAAGCTTGAAACTCAGATGAGTCACAGAGATGCTAGGAAGTTTTCTTTTAGCGTGAGAGTAGTGGGAAAATGGAATGCACTTAAGGAGCAGGTTGTGGAAGCAAATACTATTCATAATTTTAAAACCAGGTATGATAGGGAAATAGGACCATAGTCATTGCTGTAAACAACCGATGCTCGAAAGGCGGGATCCAAGAGTCAATGCTCGATCCTGCAGACACAACTAGGTGAGTACACACACACACACACACACACACACACACACACACACACACACACACACACACACACACACACACACACACACACACACACACACACACACACACACACACACACACACACACACACACACACACACACACACACACACACACACACACCAGCAGAAGTAAGCGTGTGGGAATATCCGGAAAACGACAGAGACTTGTGAAATACTAAATGAGAAATTCCAGAAAGTCTTTTCAACTTGAACCATAACTTGCGACGAGCCTCAAGGAGCAGCCTGGCCCGACGAATGACTGAGTGAAATATAAATCATCACATGAGAGATAAGACCCCAGCGGCAGCCGTCACACCCACTTTTAATTTCAATAAAACACGAAAAAATGGTTCATATATTAAAAAGCTAATTGATAGGTGGGGCTTTGGAGCTGATGCTTGACTCAGCAAGCATATCTAGGTGAGTACATCTAGGTGAGTAATCCATACAGTGTCGAAAAGATTAATATTAAGAAAAACAGATTAAGCTCTTCAGGAAACAGTATCGGATGCCGATTACTCCCTGTCTCCGTGATATAACAGAGAAGGATCCTCCATATCAATGGTTTGCGCACTATGCAAGACTAATTACAATTTAATTTCATTCATTTAATTAATAAATGACTCAGAACTGGGGTAGACTGCAGAGTACACCAGGAGGACTTGGTCTAAAAAAATGGGTTCTAAACTCAAATCAATCAAGTGCAAGATGGTGGCACTTGAATGGATGGCTTGGGAAGACAGGTCAGAACCTCGGGACAACGCAAGATGAGGAAGACAACTGCTCAAGACGGGATAAAATAATGTTCAAGATGTACATGAAAAGTTACAATAGCGTGGCTGTTAAATGTTGACCAAACCATACACTAGAAATTGCAGAGACGACGACGTTTTGGTCCGTTCTGGACCACTGTCGACTTGATAATGGACCAGGACGGACCGAAACGTCGTCGTCTCTTCAGTTTCTAGTGTGGTTTGGTCAACATGTTCAAGATGTTGAGGTTGTATGAAGCCTCTCACCAGAGGCGTCAATAAACAGGCTAACATCAACGACATAAAGGTGACGAATGTTCGGACAGTGTTCACACACCGTGATCAGTCACCTTCAGACCGTGGTGCACATCCTGACCCACGCCAGTTTGTGCTCCTATTGTCAACTATTATAAAAAAAATGAAACTGAAGAAAGTGCACAAGTGTGCTGCAAGATTTGTCTCTAAGCTTATGAGGACTGAACTATCAGGAAAGACCGACGGATCGAGAATGTAACACACTAGAAAAAAGAGACAAAAGTGACATGATCACCACATATTTAATACTTATAAAGACTAACACACTAGACAAATACGAGATGATGACCAGACCACACACTAGAATGTGAAGGGACGACGACGTTTCGGTCCGTCCTGGACCATTCTCAAGTCGATTGTGCAAATACGCGAGCAAATAGAGCCAATACGAGATGTTTTAACATGTTAGGATGCACTACTCCAGTATTAAAGTACTTAACACCTGGAATGATCTAGAACTGGCGGCATTTCAGGTTAATTACGAACATAACTTCAAAAGGAGGTATGAAAAGAAGTAAACAAATTTAAGGGCCCTTGCAAACAAGTCACCGACAACAGAAAGGTGGCGCCCCAGAGCTGAAACTCACCAGGCAAGTACGTTTAGAGAAAGTCTTACCATGTACCCTCACTCTTCCCACCTGCACCGGCCTTGTCAGGGTCAATATGACGGCTTAGTCAATGGCCAATTAAGAAAGACGGGCAGCTGTTGACCTCCTAATTGGCTCACTTCACTGCAACACGAATTAACGAGCTGAATGACGACGCAACTTTTCTTAAGCCAAGTCACGCTTTGGCACTTTTTCTCCATCGTTATTCAGCACTTTTGTACACGTTGGAACATATTAGCAATACACGCGGTGTTGACACACCTGAAGGACTTTTGAGCTCCATTCAATTGATGAATCAAAGATTTTTCACGTACAGGGGAATTGTTGATATGATACTTGACTGCCTTCCTTGATGACAACAGATGGAGAAGTTGAACACACAAGAGCATGTTAAGTGACGTCCACGAGACAGGAGCGCACGTCGCCAGCCACGTGACGGGCCTCAGGGGCCCCAACCAGGTGTCCAGTTCCCATATGAATATCCGTCAGTCTCACGTGGAAATTGGTTCCCTCTTATCACCTGGTGTTACCCCACCTTACTCCACCACCTGCATCACTACCTCATCCATCACTACCACCTCCACCACCACCACCACCACCACCTGCATCACCACCTCATCCATCACTACCACCTCCACCACCACCACCTGCATCACTACCTCATCCATCACTACCACCTCCACCACCACCACCACCACCACCTGCATCACCACCTCATCCATCACTACCACCTCCACCACCACCACCTGCATCACTACCTCATCCATCACTACCACCTCCACCACCACCACCACCACCACCTGCATCACCACCTCATCCATCACTACCACCTCCACCACCACCACCTGCATCACTACCTCATACATCACTACCACCTCCACCACCACCACCACCACCACCTGCATCACCACCTCATCCATCACTACCACCTCCACCACCACCACCACCACCACCTGCATCACCACCTCATCCATCACTACCACCTCCACCACCACCACCTGCATCACCACCTCCACCACCACCACCACCTCCTCCCGCACCATCACTACCACCAGAGGAATATGATCACAACATAGAAGATTCTGAGCGATATAGACAAGTTGGACAAGGACAATCGTCTTTAATTTGAGAGAATATGACAAAATAGGACACACACAGGGTACTTATGAAGAGAAAGCTCTACGCCACAACGACTCTATCACTTGGAAAACGTAAATGATTGGAATATAAAGCAGCACAGTAGAGGTGGACAGGATGCTTGGTTCTGTCCACCTCTCCTGTGGTGGACAGAACGTTCTGTCCACCTCTCCTGTGGTGGACAGAACGTTCTGTTATCTCTCCTGTGGTGGACAGAACGTTCTGTCCACCTCTCCTGTGGTGGACAGAACGTTCTGTCCACCTCTCCTGTGGTGGACAGAACGTTCTGTCCATCTCTCCTGTGGTGGACAGAACCAGTTACCACTTTAATGCCAGTTGATTCACAATGAATTAAAAATAATAGTAATATACCTCACCACTCACCGCTAGGAAGGGGCCTGACAGCTGAGTGGACAGCGCTCGGAATTTGTAGTCCTGAGATTCCGGGTTCGATTCCCGGTGGACGAGGAAACAAATAGGCAGTGTTTCTTTCACCCTGATGCCCTTGTTCACCTAGCAGTAAATAGATACCTGGGAGTTAGTTAGACAGGTGCTACAGGCTGTTTCCTGGGGGGGTGTAACAAAAAAAAGAGGGCTGGTCGAGGACCGGGCCGCGGAGACGCTAAGCCCCGAAACCATCTCAAGATAATCTCAAGAAGATAACCTCACAAGTACCCGGGTGGAGAGCTTCCATGTCCCGATATCCTCACAAGGGTTATGGTATTTTTTTTAGTTTAGTTCATTTATTATGCACCCCATACCCATCTTGTGGGCGGTAGTGGAAAGGGTTACAGAGGCACATAATGGGCTCAGGGACTGAACCCCACAATTCATTTAGCTAAGCAAGTTACAATCTTGATGAGCTAGTTACAAAATTCAATATAAGTCGTCACATCAACAATGGGTTCGAGATCGACCTCAAGTACAGGTTCTAAATTAAGCAACTGACATATGTGGAGAGCTAGTGTCAAAATTGATATGTTTGTCCTGCACACCGCCCCCCATCCAGTGGGCAGCGGTGGATAGGTTACAATCACTCAGTTACTACCTACAGTTAGCAAACTGGGGATATTTGGCTAAAATTTCTGGTAGCAGATCATTTTGAATGAAATATTTACACATCGCTGGAACATTGGTTATAGAATTGTCTCTAAATTCACGTATCTTTTCGCACTCCATCACATAGTGACGGAGGGTGTGCGAATAATTTTGTTGACACAGTTTACAGTCTAAGCCGAGCAGAAGTAACATCTAGAAGTCTGCTGATTTTATTGGATGATCCATAGATGTGTGGCTCCTCTTGCATGATAGTATGATGATAGATGGAATTACTAGTGTCAGTTTCACTTTGCCTCAGAAAAAATCTATATTTTTTTATTCTAATTAATCCAATGCACCCTAAAAAATACATTAGCAGACGAACGGTATAGTTAAGAGACTATACTATATTCACTAGCAGTAGTAAGCATCCATCAGTCTCAGGAGACCATGGAGTTGAGCTCTGGTTGTCGGTCTGAAGTGGCTTCTCTAGGGCGCAAAGCCAGGGTAGGTTGATAGGGGGAAGAAGCTGTCACCCATGCAGCGCCCCCCCCCCCCCACTCTCCACGACGCCGAAAGCCTCCAATGGAAAGGCAAACGCCAATACGATAGGTTCCAGCGCCGTCGCAGGAACTGTCAGAACGAGGTTGAAGGCAGCAACGAACTGCCGCAGGCGCTCCAGTTCAGGAGTTTATCGCGAAGTTTTTAAAAGAAGGCACAGGGACTATATAGAGGGCTATATGCACTATAGTGTGGGATATCCACTCAGTCTTCTCTCAACCTTTCTGTCCCGCCTCATTGTTTGGCCCCATTATTATCGTCTAGTTTTCACATTTAAATTAAAATATATATTATTGTCTATTGTTTACTGGCGCCTGACAGCTGAGTGAACAGCGCTTCGGTTTCGTAGTCCTGAGGTTCCGGGTTCGATCCCCGGTGGAGGCGGAGACAAATGGGTAAAATGTTTCTTTCACCCTGATGCCCAAGTTACCTAGCAGTAAATAGGTACCTGGGAGTTAGACAGCTGCTACGGGCTGTTTCCTGGGGGGGAGGGTGTAAACAAAAAGGAGGCCTGGTCGAGGACTGGGCCGCGGGGACGCTAAGCCCCGAAATTATCTCAAGATAACCTCAAGAAGATAGTCAAAGGATTTTTATATTCTTATCTAATTCTAACTAATAAAATATTAATTTTCAAGCACTCCGTGTCCATTAAAGAGTTTCATTAAATTGGTATGTTATATATATATAGATTTTTTACATTTTCAGTCTCTAGATGTTTAATTGTCACTTCGCGCATGCGCAATATAAAGGCTTGACCAACATGTGCACCACTGGGACCAAGTATAATTTAGTGTTCTTCACAATGAATACATAAATATACAGTGAATGAGTGTGTTTATACACTTGTATAAACCCGTTCCTCACAACACTCCTGCCCAGACTGGGTGATCAACAAGTGGAATGCTCTCAAAGAAGAAGTTGTGGAAGCCACCTCTATCCTTAACTATGGGGGCCCCGACTCAGTAAAGAATTCAACTATCAAGATAGTTGAACTATAACACTAAAGGTGCCCCAAGTTCAGTAGGCGGGGCATACAGAACTAGACCTCACCTCCTCGTAGACACAGATAATCACTGGTATGTAAGTAGTGTGAGTAGAGCAGATGGAAATATACATATAGTTTGCTGCTTACATTGTGTCAGTGAATTTCCAGATCTGTGGCAGAAAATTTACTTAAAACAACAAAAAGCTTCGCTATCGTCCATCTAACACATGTGAGACTCGTTATCACAGCTCCCTTCCCATGTATCAAGGACTGTGTATGTGTCATCTCGCACTCCCCAACTCCCCATCTCCGCTGCTATCCCCCTCCCTCGCCCCCTTCCCTCATCTCCCCCCACCCCTCACCCTCCCTGATGATAAGTTACCGGTTACATCACCTTCTTTAGGTACTTAAGTTGTCCCCCTACCTCAGCACTAATAGTTAGTGACGAGAGCTCCACCAGCCGCCACTCAGGACTCCACCAGCCGCCACTCAGGACTCCACCAGCCGCCACTCAGCACTCCACCAGCCGCCACTCAGCACTCCACCAGCCGCCACTCAGGACTCCACCAGCCGCCACTCAGGACTCCACCAGCCGCCACTCAGGACTCCACCAGCCGCCACTCAGGACTCCACCAGCCGCCACTCAGCACTCCACCAGCCGCCACTCAGGACTCCACCAGCCGCCACTCAGGACTCCACCAGCCGCCACTCAGGACTCCACCAGCCGCCACTCAGGACTCCACCAGCCGCCACTCAGGACTCCACCAGCCGCCACTCAGGACTCCACCAGCCGCCATAAGAGCAACATGAATTTCCTCTGTCATTGCTGCCTCCTTTTCCTCCTCCTTCTGGCAATTGTTAGCGTGGGAGGCTTAGTGCAGGGTGAAGACCATAGTGTATGGGAGAAGGTCGGAAAAACTGGCGAGAGTGTGTGGGATTGGGCTGGGAGTGCAGGTAAGAGTGTGTGGAATTGGGCTGGGAGTGCAGGCGAAAGTGTGTGGGATTGGGCTGGAAATGTGGGAGAGAGTGTGGGAGAGACCGTGAGCGATATTGACTAAGAGTGGGGCAAGAAAGGGTCCGTAGAACTGACCAAAGCCTCCTAAAATTAGTGTAAGAAATGAAGAAATATGGTATATTTACTCACTGTAATGTTGGCGCTGAATGTGGAACATGAAAAAAACATTTTGACTCTGATGTACTCTCATTTCATAAGGAAATTAGAAATAAATATGTGGCAGGTGACGCCACAGGAAATCGACGGCCCAAGTGACAATGTTGTGGAGCGACTTATCCTACGGCGTCACCCGCCATGTACTTACTTCTAATTTCATTATGACATGAGATTATTTCAGAGGAAAAATATTTCTTCATTACTTACGTAATGCTAGGAGGCTTTGGGTAGTTTTGGGTAATTCTACGGACCCTGAGAAAGTGTGTGGGATCGGGCGTGTGTGGCCGTTGGAATAACGTGTGGGAAAGAGTGCAGTGGGAGTGAGCCAGGTGTATGTGTGTGTGTTGGAGTGCGGGCTAGTGTGGGGGGTGTGGGTCGAGTGTGTGGGAGCTGATAGTGTATGTGGGGTAGAACAGGCGTGTGGGAGAGCGGGTGAAAGTCTCGGTTGCATCAGTTTTTGTACATACAAAATGCTTTTTATTCCACCATCGTCAGCACCCATAGTAAGTCCAGCAGCCGCCAACAGAACAACATGAAGCTAAATCATTGTTGCAGTTATTCTGGCAGTTATTAACGTGGGAGGCCTGGTGCAGGGTGAAGACGCCACAGGAAATCGACGGTCAGGCGACGATGTTGTGGAGCGACTTATCCTATGGCATTTTGTATGTGTGTGTGGGATAAGGTCGGATATACTGGTGGGAGTGTGAGGGAGCGGGTCGGAAGCATAGACGGGGAAGAAAGGGATGGGAGTCTGTGGGTTAGAGAAAGTGTGGAAGAGATGATGGAAGAGGCTCCGTGTCCGGATGCTGAGGGCATAAAACCCTGTAAGTGGACCAACGTCACGCTGGACACCCTGACCATGGACTGCTCGGTTGTGACCGACGGAGACCAACTATCCCAGGTGTTCTCTTCCTCCTTCCCCGTCACCGCCTTCCACCAGCTGGTCATCACCCTTACCACAGGATCCTACGAGATGGAGTCCTAGGAAGCGTCACATTCCGACGCTTCAAGCGTGCACAACGGAGTCCTAGAGAGTGTGGAGGACAACGCCCTTTCCGGAAGCTTCCCCACAGCATTTTCCCTCCAGTTCTATCACAACAATCTATTGAGCTTCCGCACCTCGAGTCCTTCACGAAGCTCACCCTGCGAGACTTGGGCTTCAACAACCTGCAGGCGTTTCCTAATGTATCCTCGGACAGCTTGGAAACGTTGCACGTGAATATGAACCCTCTTGGGTGCTTCCTGTGGCAGCCTTCGCCTCCACACCTTTCCTCTCCAGCGTCTACCTGCAGGAGACAGCTTCGGGACATACCGTCAGGTGGGTAAGACGATTCAGTGTTGTGTTGGAGATTCAGTGTTGTGTTGGAGATTCAGTGTTGTGTTGGAGATTAAGTGTTGTGTTGGAGATTCAGTGTTGTGTTGGAGATTCAGTGTTGTGTTGGAGATTAAGTGTTGTGTTGGAGATTCAGTGTTGTGTTGGAGATTCAGTGTTGTGTTGGAGATTCAGTGTTGTGTTGGAGATTAAGTGTTGTGTTGGAGATTCAGTGTTGTGTTGGAGATTCAGTGTTGTGTTGGAGATTCAGTGTTGTGTTGGAGATTAAGTGTTGTGTTGGAGATTCAGTGTTGTGTTGGAGATTCAGTGTTGTGTTGGAGATTAAGTGTTGTGTTGGAGATTCAGTGTTGTGTTGGAGATTCAGTGTTGTTGTGTTGGAGATTCAGTGTTGTGTTGGAGATTCAGTGTTGTTGTGTTGGAGATTTAGCGTCGTGTTGGTGGTTCTGTGTCATGTTGATGCGAGATGTTTTTAGCCGTCATTAAGCCGTTTCGTTACAGCTCATGGTGAATGTTGCCTTTGTCAAACATTCTTGCCAATTCACAAGAGTGTAATACACTTACCCACACTCACACTCCTCTCACATCCTTGACCAAATCCAAACATTTATCAATACAGTTTACATACTCGAGTTTAGTCGATTTTTCCCTGCATTTGTGACTAACTAGAGAGAGCACATTACATGATTGTCTCGGACACGTTGTTAATGTCCTTAGTGATTCGATCAAACTTGGACTTAATGTTGTATCTCGGGAATCGTGTGGAAATTAACATATAATAGCCCTATAAGGCCATCTGAGTCACTGCTCCTAACTCTTGTTCTGTGCAATTAAAGAACGACCAAATAGGTAAGCATACCTATATCTGTAATTCTTTAATTATTACATAATATTGAAACTCATATACTACTACTATTATTTAATTATATAAACATAAACAATAAACATAATATTATTTAATTATTACATACTATTGAAACTATTGAATTGAAACATACACTGAAACTCATACCTATTATGAGTTTCTTCTCTGGAAAAAAAGAATTCAAAATAAGGGGAAAAGTAAATAAATGCTTCATGAAAGTTTTTGAAATTTGTCTCAGGAGTTATCCCTTAATTTCATGTTTTTGTTTCTGAAGAAAATGAGGACAAGTCTAATGAAAATAGGAGAAACTAAAGATAATTTAAAAATAATGCGTTAACGCTCATCTTTTCTCCATAAATATTCTCAGGCACAACGATAACACGTTCTAAAATTTCTTCAAATTAACTACTTGTATTAATATAAAGATTTACCTTATTAGGCAGTATTAGCCAGTGATACATTATTAAATTATTATATGTCAGTTCTTGAAAATGTAAGGAGATTTAAAGGCAGACCGTAATGCTCTTGGTGTTCTATACTGATTAACTAACATCAGTTGATGTTAGTCACAGCGTAATCCTGCCAACTGTTACATAGTAATTGTCGTAAGCACCAGCCTAATGATTAACACAATTTTTCAAACTGGCAACCGAAGCATTGCTGTATCCTGCCTACGAATATAATTTGTGAATTTTTTCTTGAAGGTTTACCTGTATTCATAGTTCCACTTGTTCCTGTACCTGTAATATATTTTAATGCAACTACACTGAAATACTTTCACTTGTACTAGAGCTTATATTTCTACTTGTGATGGCAGTTTAAATACACCCGCACTACCATGCTCAGCTATATGCCTATAATCTTAATTATAATTTATTCCATAATCGCTGTATTCTTTTTTTTAACCCATGACAGTATTCCCTTCAGGAGTCTTTTCTGGGCTGGCATACCTGAAGGAAGCGTACCTCTTCAGGAACTGTTTGAGGGAAGTACTGGAGCTGACGGTGGAGATCAACCCTGCCATGGGCGGGGTCAGTATTCCTCAGCATGTAATTACCACCTTCGCCGTCAACGCCCTCCCAGGTGCGTGGGAGCAACCAGCAACACTTGTTCATTTCCTCACCTGTCCATTTCCTCACCTGTCCATTTCGTCACCTATCCATTTCCTCCCTGGATCAATATACCTTCCTTTTCAAGTTAACTGTTATATTGTTATGTAAACCATTCGCAACACCAGCACTTTACCTGTGTGTCTCTCCCCCTGTTAACATGACCCGGTATAAGTACCGGGTCAAGTATCGTATTATTATTAGAGAAGTTATTCTAAGCTGGTGTAGAACATGGTTATTTTAAAGAAAACAATGTCAACGTAAGTGGTGTTAAGTCTGAGTGGGAGACTATTGTAAGTAGAATGTCCCAGGCTCTGTCCTGGGTACTTATAATTACCTGAATTTACCTGAGGGCAACCATCTCACTAGTGGCTTCGACGAGGACTGGAAGCCGTCGGCTTGTCAAAGATCCTCCAATTGTCATTATTATATCCGGCCAGATTTTGAACTGCAGCAATGTCTTTGACTTTACAACATACATATAAACGAATTACACGACTGAACACAAATAATTGCAAATTTGCAGATAATTGGAAAATTGGACCGAAAATAAATCTTACAGCACAAAATTGCTACAAGACTAGCGACACTTTGTTAACCTGAGCCAGGATTAATAAAGATTTTATTTGAAGATAAATATATAATCATGAACTGAAAGTCTCAACAAAGTATTAAACCACTTTCTTCTCGTGTATTCCAACCAATTCAGAATCAAAAAGGAAAAATTACCAAATATGGTATTAGTTTCTTGTAAAAGAATATCATGAAACGAAATAAAGTCGCTCATATAACTGGAAACTCAGATTTTCAATTTCTGATATGTAGTGGAAAGGAAAAATAATACTTGCCTTTGTAAGTGTTAACTTCCAGAGGTTGCAACAAAGGAACAGAGAATCCTTCAGAATAAACATTCAGAGTTCCTATTACCCAAAGTATAGATGATAGTGCAATGTCCGAAACACTAAGCTTGCTAGTGGCTTTACAAGAATGTAAACCTCAAGTCTCTGTACTCTCATGAACCCAATGTACTGTACCTTCTTGTATATAAATAAATAAATGTCAGTCTTGTGGACCCTCAGTAAACCGCACACAATACCGGACTTGAGGCAATACAAGAATTTGTTATTAACTTCATTTGAGATAACGAGTAGCTTCCCAGACTCACTAGTGTTTATCCGGCAGGAGTGAGCGAGCGGGGAGAGCTGCTGGTCAACAGTCTGACGGAGGTACAGCAGGTGGGGTGGCGGCCCCGACGGGAGGCTGGGGTCACTCTCTTACAGTATGGTAAGTGTCCTTCACCCAGGTAACCCAGTTTTATCCCAGGTAACCCAGTTTTATCCCAGATAACCCAGTTTTATCTTCACATAACCCAGTTTTATCCCAGATAACCCAGTTTTATCTTCACATAGCCCAGTTTTATCCCAGATAACCCAGTTTTATCTTCACGTAACCCAGTTTTATCCCAGATAACCCAGTTTTATCCTCACGTAACCCAGTTTTATCCCAGGTAACCCAGTTTTATCCTCACGCAACCCAGTTTTATCCCAGGTAACCCAGTCATATCCTCAGGTAACCCGAAGCTGTGATGTAGCTGCGACATCGCCTGACTTCTTCGAAACCGGACCCTCTTCGGCCTGGTAGACCCGATGTTTACCAGGTGCTCGGACTGCCAGCTGGTGGCCCTTCTCGACCCCGGCTGACTTTGACCAGTGCTGACTTCTGCGGGTGTTGTACTGATGTCTGCGGGTGTTTTAATGATGTCTGCGGGTGTTGTACTGATGTCTGCGGGTGTTGTAACTGACGTCTGCGGGTGTTGTAACTGACGTCTGCGGGTGTTGCAACTTACGTCTTCGGGTGTTGTAACTGACGTCTGCGGGTGTTGTAACTTACGTCTGCGGGTGTTGTAACTGACGTCTGCGGGAGTTGTAACTGACATCTGCGGGTGTTGTAACTGACGTCTGCGGGATTTGTAACTGACGTCTGCGGGTGTTGTAACTGACGTCTGCGGGTGTTGTAATTGACGTCTGCGGGATTTGTAACTGATGTCTGCGGGTGCTGTAACTGAGCCAGATCATGGATAAGATGCATTGAAAGCACACACTGATGAAATATAAGATCCGCAGACAACGTACGGTGTCTGCACGGGAGGGGAGGAGCTCGATGATCAGTGGGTGACTGATGGAACACATCAGTCACTGATGGGAGACATCAGCACGCGTCAGTCACCTCCCCATTTCTCTACCTTCATGTTCCCCCTCACCCACACCCCCCCTCACATGCAGCTCTCCTCCCCCCCCCCCTCTTCACATGTAGCTCTCCCCCCCCCCCTCCTCCACCCAACCCCCCCCCCCCCCCCACTGCGAGTCATGATATTTTACCTTGCATCCGGAAGCCAAGACAGAATGTCATATATCAAACATTATTAAATTTCCTCTTAGGATCTATCCAGCCTGAGTATCGCATGACACGCAACATCTCCCGAGATTCCTGAAACAAAATATTTCAGACATCTTGTGTAGGGCTCTCGTCCCCTTGGGATTTACATCAACACCACAAAAAAGTGTTGAAAGAACACAAATAATCCATTAAAAACCTCTGCTTGTGCCAAACGTTTAAAATTATGTATTATTTCTTTAATTATTTATGATTAATTAACGTAATTGCCAATCTCTTTTTTTTTTTTTTTTGGTGATTGATTATTTGCCAAGCCTCGCACTCCTCCATACCTCGCCAGGCAGATCATCCAGCTATTAATTTAAGGTCTACATCGTATTGGTGCCCCAATACCATTTTCTTTGAGTATGTTTCTTGTACACATATTGAGCTTTCATTGCTGTTCATGATTCTGATGCTAAAGATCAGCTTTCACATAATATTTTTATCATTTATTCTTCACATTGAGTGAAAACCTTTTGTGATTTGATTACTATTTAATAAAGTTACCTTTCCTTGCGAGTCTTATCATTAAGACGGGTTTAGGTAAATATTTACTTCAATATTTAACATTTTTATTTTCGTTCTAACTTTTTAGATAATTGGAAATTGTGTATTTTGTAGTTTTTACAAATTCATGATGATTGTGTTTTTCAATAATAAAGCAAATAAACGTGATCTTTAAATATTATTTAACTAATTCCAACATATCACATATATATATATATATATATATATATATATATATATATATATATATATATATATATATATATATATATGTCGTACCTAGTAACCAGAACGCACTTCTTAGCCTACTATGCAAGGCCCAATTTGCCTAATAAGCCAAGTTTTCATGAATTATTTGTTTTTGACTACCTAACCTAACCTAACTTTTTCGGCTACCTAACATAACCTATAAAGATAGGTTAGGTTAGGTTAGGTAGGGTTGGTTAGGTTCGGTCATATATCTACGTTAATTTCAACTCCAATAAAAAAAATTGACCTCATACATAATGAAATGGGTAGCTTTATCATTTCATAAGAAAAAAATTAGAGAAAATATATTAATTCAGGAAAACTTGGCTTGTTACGCAAATCGGGTCTTGCATAGTAGGCCGAGTACTGCTTTCTGGCTACTAGGTACAACATTTATATATATATATATATATATATATATATATATATATATATATATATATATATATATATATATATATATATATATATATATATATATCGTACCTAATAGCCAGAACGCACTTCTCAGCCTACTATGCAAGGCCCGATTTGCCTAATAAGCCAAGTTTTCATGAATTAATTGTTTTTCGACTACCTAACCTACCTAACCTAACCTAACCTAACTTTTTCGGCTACCTAACCAAACCTAACCTATAAAGATAGGTTAGGTTAGGTTAGGTAGGGTTGGTTAGGTTCGGTCATATATCTACGTTAATTTTAACTCCAATAAAAAAAATTGACCTCATACATAATGAAATGGGTAGCTTTATCATTTCAAAGGAAAAAAAATAGAAAAAATATATTAATTCAGGAAAACTTGATTTATTAGGCAAATCGGGCCTTGAATAGTAGGCCATATATATATATATATATATATATTATATATATATATATATATATATATATATATATATATATATATATATATATATATATATATATATATATATATATATATATATATATATATGTCGTACCTAGTAGCCAGAACTCACTTCTCAGCCTACAATGCAAGGCCCGATTTGCCTAATAAGCCAAGTTTTCCTGAATTAATATATTTTCTCTAATTTTTTTCTTATGAAATGATAAAGCTACCCATTTCATTATGTATGAGGTCAATTTATGTTATTGGAGTTAAAATTAACGTAGTTATATGACTGAACCTAACCAACCCTACCTAACCTAACCTAACCTATCTTTATAGGTTAGGTTTGGTTAGGTAGCCGAAAAAGTTAGGTTAGGTTAGGTTAGGTAGGTTAGGTAGTCGAAAAACAAATAATTCATGAAAACTTGGCTTATTAGGCAAATTTGGCCTTGCATAATAGGCTGAGAAGTGCGTTCTGGCTACTAGGTACGACATATATATATATATATATATATATATATATATATATATATATATATATATATATATATATATATATATATATATATATATATATATATGTCGTACCTAGTAGCCAGAACGCACTTCTCAGCCTACTATGCAAGGCCCGATTTGAATAATAAGCCAAGTTTTCATGAATTAATTGTTTTTCGACTACCTAACCTACCTAACCTAACCTAACCTAACTTTTTCGGCTACCTAACCTAACCTAACCTTTAAAGATAGGTTAGGTTAGGTTAGGTAGGGTTGGTTAGGTTCGGTCATATATCTATGTTAATTTCAACGCCAATAAAAAGAAATTGACGTCATACATAATGAAATGGGTAGCTTTATTATGTCATAAGAAAAAAATTACAGACAATATATTAATTCATGAAAACTTGGCTTATTAGGCAAATCGGGCCTTGAATAGTAGGCCGAGAAGTGCGTTCTGGCTACTAGGTACGACATATATATATATATATATATATATATATATATATATATATATATATATATATATATATATGCGAACAAGCCTGAATGGTCCCCAGGACATATGCAACTGAAAACTCACACCCCAGAAGTGACTCGAACCCATATAGCCTCGGCTATCACCTCATTTTGTCCGGTCGTGATGGTCAAGTGGATTAAGGCGTCTTGTACATACCAGATGCGTTGCTTCTGGGAGTATGGGTTCGAGTCACTTCTGGGGTGTGAGTTTTCAGTTGCATATGTCCTGGGGACCATTCAGGCTTGTTCGCATTTGTGTTCCTCACGTGTGCCCCAAAGAATGAGGTGATTTGGTAAAATGCTATGCCCAAGATAACTATCCGAGTGCCGGCGGTGGGGTGGTTCATATAGCCTCGGCTATCACCTCATTTTGTCCGGTCGTGATGGTCAAGTGGATTAAGGCGTCTTGTACATACCAGATGCGTTGCTTCTGGGAGTATGGGTTCGAGTCACTTCTGGGGTGTGAGTTTTCAGTTGCATATGTCCTGGGGACCATTCAGGCTTGTTCGCATTTGTGTTCCTCACGTGTGCCCCAAAGAATGAGGTGATTTGGTAAAATGCTATGCCCAAGATAACTATCCGAGTGCCGGCGGTGGGGTGGTTCATATAGCCTCGGCTATCACCTCATTTTGTCCGGTCGTGATGGTCAAGTGGATTAAGGCGTCTTGTACATACCAGATGCGTTGCTTCTGGGAGTATGGGTTCGAGTCACTTCTGGGGTGTGAGTTTTCAGTTGCATATGTCCTGGGGACCATTCAGGCTTGTTCGCATTTGTGTTCCTCACGTGTGCCCCAAAGAATGAGGTGATTTGGTAAAATGCTATGCCCAAGATAACTATCCGAGTGCCGGCGGTGGGGTGGTTCATATAGCCTCGGCTATCACCTCATTTTGTCCGGTCGTGATGGTCAAGTGGATTAAGGCGTCTTGTACATACCAGATGCGTTGCTTCTGGGAGTATGGGTTCGAGTCACTTCTGGGGTGTGAGTTTTCAGTTGCATATGTCCTGGGGACCATTCAGGCTTGTTCGCATTTGTGTTCCTCACGTGTGCCCCAAAGAATGAGGTGATTTGGTAAAATGCTATGCCCAAGATAACTATCCGAGTGCCGGCGGTGGGGTGGTTCATATAGCCTCGGCTATCACCTCATTTTGTCCGGTCGTGATGGTCAAGTGGATTAAGGCGTCTTGTACATACCAGATGCGTTGCTTCTGGGAGTATGGGTTCGAGTCACTTCTGGGGTGTGAGTTTTTCAGTTGCATATGTCCTGGGGACCATTCAGGCTTGTTCGCATTTGTGTTCCTCACGTGTGCCCCAAAGAATGAGGTGATTTGGTAAAATGCTATGCCCAAGATAACTATCCGAGTGCCGGCGGTGGGGTGGTTCATATAGCCTCGGCTATCACCTCATTTTGTCCGGTCGTGATGGTCAAGTGGATTAAGGCGTCTTGTACATACCAGATGCGTTGCTTCTGGAGTATGGGTTCGAGTCACTTCTGGGGTGTGAGTTTTCAGTTATATATATATATATATATATATGTCGTACCTAGTAGCCAGAACTCACTTCTGAGCCTACTATGCAAGGCCCGATTTGCCTAATAAGCCAAGTTTTCATGAATTAATTGCTTTTCGACTACCTAACCTACCTAACCTAACCTAACCTAACTTTTTCGGCTACCTAACCTAACCTAACCTATAAAGATAGGTTAGGTTAGGTTAGGTAGGTTTGGTTAGGTTCAGTCATATATCTACGTTAATTTTAACTCTAATTAAAAAAAATTGACCTCTTACATAATGAAATGGGTTGCTTTATCATTTCATAAGAAAAAATTAGAGAAAATATATTAATTAATGAAAACTTGGCTTATTAGACAAATCGGGCCTTGCATTGTAGGCTGAAAAGTGAGTTCTGGCTACTAGGTACGACATATATATATATATATATATATATATATATATATATATATATATATATATATATATATATATATATATAGTTTTTTGTAGTTGTAATATATAGTGTGTGTGTAAATCACGAAAATTAACACGTGGTGAAAAATGTGACAGTATCAGACCAAGAACGAAGAGTTAAAACAAGAATTTCCTTAAGTACTTTCGTATTTAACAATCCAATCATTATCCTGACCTCTTCCCAGTGCTATATAACCGTGGTGGCTTAGCGGTTTCTCCTGATAGTTCCTTTCCTTTCGTATTTAACAATACATCTTCACCCTTCTGAAGATATATATAAGAGAGAGAGAGAGAGAGAGAGAGAGAGAGAGAGAGAGAGAGAGAGAGAGAGAGAGAGAGAGAGAGAGAGAGAGAGAGAGAGAGAGAGAGGGGGGGAGAGAGAGTGGGGGAGAGAGAGAGGGGGAGAGAGAGAGAGAGAGAGAGAGAGAGAGAGAGAGAGAGAGAGAGAGAGAGAGAGAGAGAGAGAGAGAGAGAGAGAGAGAGAGAGAGAGAGAGAGGTGGAGAGAGAGAGAGAGAGAGAGGTGGAGAAAGAGAGAGAGAGAGAGAGGTGAGAGAGAGAGAGAGAGAGAGAGAGAGAGAGAGAGAGAGAGAGAGAGAGAGAGAGAGAGAGAGAGAGAGAGAGAGAGAGAGAGAGAGAGAGAGAGAGAGAGAGAGAGAGAGAGAGAGAGAGAGAGAGAGACTTCACTCCTGGCCTGACAGGAGCTGGGACAGGTCCTCACAAGATACTGATATAATCAAGTGACCTGACCAAGTAAAGGTGTCCCACAGACATTCACTGGCATCGTTGCCTAATATCACCAAGGCCAAAATACCCATCAAAACCATTACATTACAAAGACATATTACAGTAAGCTTTTAGAGAAGTGAGAATTTCTCTATTTTATCCTCCTGACCTCTATAATCTTTCCCAATGTAAATACCTAAACTATAGAATTAGATTCATTCTCTTTGCGACTCCTCCGTCATTCTCTCGTGTCTCTCCTCCATTGTTCTCTTCGCCATTCTTTCGCCTCTCTCCCCTTCACCGTTCTCTCACCTCACCATAACGGGTTCTCTCATCAAGCACCTGACACTTTCTGAATGTCTCGTGGC